AAATATATATACTCTAACTATAACTATATCTATATAGATAGAAATAAATGCAACACAAACTAATCTATGGTTATAAGAAGCATTTCAGTGCTTCCTTGGGGATGGATGGAGAGAAGCAGGAGGAAGGAATTATGAAGAAGCACGAGGATTCTTTTGGGTATGATAGATACATTCGCTATCTTGATTATGCTGTGGTTTCATGGGTGTATGTATATGTCAAAATATATCAAATTGTACACTTTAAATAATTGTATATTATTGTATTTCAATTATACCTCAACAATGCTGATACATACATCACACACACACACACACACACACACACACACACACACACACACATCCAGGTTCATTAGGGTTTTAACAGTGGGACTATGAACATTTTTAAACACTTGGAAAGATTCAGGCATACCCACTTCGACAGCTATTGATATTTTACAAATCTATCTTACCCACTTCACTCCTTTTCGTTGTCTTTGTGGCATTTTAAAATAAACCCCAGTTGAAGGGAATAACACAGAGACATCCCTTTACTCTCTACTCAGTTTCCTCCAGTGGTAACATTTTGGAAAGCTATAGTATGATATCACAAACAGGATACTGACATTGATACAATTGATTGATCTTATTCAGATTTCCCCATTTTACTTGTTCTCTTTTTATGTGTGTCTACATACATATTAAGTTCTATGTAATTTAATCACCTGTGTAGGTTTATGTGTCTATCATCATGGTCAAAATATTGAACAGTTCCAACATCACATAATGTCCTTTTATAAATGCCTCCGCTACTACTGCTCTGTCCTCCAGTTTTAAAATTTTGTCATTTAAAAAATGCTGTATTAGTAGAATCAATACTGATTGATTCTTTAGGGTTTCGCTATTTTTCCCCACTAAGCACAAAATTTTGTAGCTATTCAGCCAAGTTGTTGTACGTATCAGTACTTCATTTCTTTTTATCACTGAGTTATGTTCCATGGTATATATTCATACTGTAAAACATTTTTATGGGTCACTTTTAAAAACAAAAATTATCATTATCTGCTGCTTGCAAAGGGCACCAAAAATTTATTTTGCTGTTTTGGGTGGCATTTTTATAGAATTTATTGAATATCAATTAAGTCAAGTTGGAGAATGATCTTACTTAGATCTTCCATATCTTTCCTGACTTTTTCTGTACTGGTTCTGTCATTACAGAAATAGGATGTTAAAATCGACAATTGTAATTTTGGATTATTTATTTACCCTTTAGTTCTGTTAAATCTTTGCTTCATATATTTTGAAACTGTGTCATTAGGAGCATACTCATTTAGGATTGTCAGCACTTAATGATTACTTGACCCTTTTATCATTATATAATAATCCTCTTTATCTCTGGTAATATTTCTTGCCTTAAAGTTTACATTGTCTGATATGAGTTTGTCCATTACAGATTTTTTATGATTAGTGTTTACATATTATATCTTTTTACCCCTTTACTTTTAACTCGTCTTTGTATATTAAGTAATTTTTTTTAGACAGCATTGAGTTGGACTCTACTTTTTTAATGCATTCTGACAATCTCTGCCTTAATTGGAGTGTTTAATCCATTTACATTTAGTGTAATTACTGATATACAGTTGACCCTTTTAGCAACACTGGTTTGAACTGTGTGGCTCTACTTATATGCAGATGTTTTCAATAAATACATATAGTTCTGTAAATGTATTTTTTCTTTTTAATGATTTTCTTAATAACATTACCTTTTCTCTAGCTTACTTTATCGTAAGACTACAATATACAACATACAAAATATGTGTTAATTGACTGTTTATGCTATCAGTAAGGCTTCCGGTCAACAGTAAGCTATTAGTAGTTAAGTTTTTGGGGAGTCAAAAATCGTACATGGATTTTGAACTGTGTGGAGGTCGACTCCTCTGACCCCTGTATTGTTCAAGGGTCAACTGTAGTCGTTTGTCTATCATCTTGTTATTTTTTTCTATCAGTACTCGTGTCCTTTATTCCTGACTTCTTTTGGATTGAGAATATTTTTAAATTTATTTCATGTTCTCCATTAGGTTTTTAGATGTACTTTTTTTGGTGGTTGCTCTAAACATTACAATATGAATCCTTCCCTTATCCCAGTTTTCCCTGAATTAATATTATACCTCTCCATATATAGTCTAAGAACTTTATAGCAGTATAATTCCATTAGTAGCCTCCTCCACTTGTTATAAAACTAAACAATACATTGTTGTCAGTTTTAGTTTATCTTTCCCCCCCCCCCCCCCCCGCCCCAGCAGAAAAGAAAAGCTTTATTAGAAGGGAAAGTACACTTCCAGAAGTGGAAGCGGGCCTGAGCAAGAGAAGCGTGGCTCAAAAGGCCAGTTTTAGTTTAAAAAGTTATTTGTCTTTAAAGAAATTAAGAAGAGAGAAAAAATTCTAAACATTCCTTCCCCATGGACCCAAGCTTCCACCTGATGCCATTTCCCTTCAGTTTGAAGAACTTCCTTAGCATTTCTTATAGTCTGGGTCTCCTAATAATGAATTTGGGCACCTGTCATTTAATAAGGCTTGAGAATTTGATCCAATCCCAGCTATCATTTCTGTTGCATTATAAGATTCAGACAACCCTAGCAGTTGCTTGGCAATAGACTCACGCCATCCCCAAAACCCAACAGCCCCATCCTTGCAGTGTAAACAGGAACTGGGTCTGATGGTGATCAAAGAGGTCCCTGAGAATGCGGCGTCTGCAACTGCTGGCCCAAAGCTCAGTCTTCCTTCCAGTCATGCTCCCACAAAACGTAGGATCTACCTAAACCTCCACTTGCAGCAGGAACAGCTAAACTGTTGTATGAGCTGAGTATTACCTCTTGAAGGCCTGAGATAGTCACCCTTCGAAGCCGTTTTTCTGACCTCTCTATGGACTACTGATAGCAGAGGGTGGCCTCCTGGTGGTTGCGATGACCCATTCCTCCTGCCCATCTTCCCTGCACTGGTGACAGACTGGCCACTGGCACGCATACGTCTCCAAGCCTCTCTTAGCCTCCCGGAAGTTTTGCTCAAGGGTTTCAGCTTTTGCAGAGCGACCTTGGCTACTCAGCTACCATGAGTCATTAATGCTAAAGATGTTTCCTCAGTATCAAGGTTTATGTCCACTTTAGTGTCTATTTTCAGGGCCTTAGCTGCAGACTCCTTTGATTTGTCTGGATATTTTTCTTCACAAGCCTTTACACTGCCTCCTTGTCTTCCTCCTGTTCCCAAGTCCCCTTTCCCAACCTTGCAGTGGCCTCCGCACAGGCCAAGCTTGCTATTTGCAACAAGCAAACCTGGGGTGACAGTCTCTCTTCTGTCATATGGTACAGTTTGGGCAGCCAAACTGTACCCTTCTAACTGTATGCCCATGGGCACATCCTATAATCCCTACCCCTTGCAGCTTAAGTTTCTTCATCTGTAAACAGGATTGTTGTGAAGATGAAATGAGATTAGTCATGTGAAGTCTTTAGTGCAGAGCCTGGAACCTGATGAGTTACCCACGTTAGTTATTGTAGTTACAGCCCTGCCCTCAAATATCTTCCCTAACTCCTTTTCAAGTCTCAATTCTTTTGCCAAAGTGTTTGGCTCCAGTATGTTGCTGGATATTCAGGAATGTGACTTCCTTTTGCAGACTGCCAGTGGCTTTCACACTTGGCTTCCCAGGAACGGATGTCAGGCGCTTCAGACACTAACAGGTAGATCCTAGGGACCTGCCATGTGCTCTCTCAGTTTTCAGGACCAGATGGCTCATAGTTGATCTCATGGGTTTTCCTGTCCACCTAGTGGTCTGCTGGGAGGCACAGAGGTAAAATGGATGAAGTCTTGCTTCCAACGAACTCACATTTCAGTGGGGGAGAAGACTCAGAAGCCACAGCTATAGAGTTCCCAATTCAGGGAAAGACTGCTAGATGCTCCTATGGTCAGGATCCCTCAGGAGCACCTGGATCCAGGATCCACCAGGATCAGCTGAGGATCTTCCTGATTCTGATGATGCTTGGCTAGAATACTGATGGAGAAGTGGGAGATAGCAAGACAGACAGTGAGGGAAGGACATTGCAGGCATAGGGAAGACTCTTTGAGAAGTCTTGATCCATTCTAGGAACTCCACTCCTGAGTGAGGTCTAAAACCTTCAACCCACAAAGCATCCCAGTCATTGGTCTCTCTGACCCACAGGTCCCACACCAAATTCTCTCCCTTGACATTCAAAGCCCTTCACAATCTTGCCCCACCTCTTCTCCCCACTCCCATCTTCAAGCCCTGACCCTTTGTTATAGCCACTCAGATGGTTTCCTGTTTGCCAAGCAGACCATTTACATTCTGGCCTCCAGGCCTTTGCCCAGGCTGCTCCCCCTGCTGAGAATGTTGTCATATTCACTGAGCTAACTCCTTCTTATTTTCCAAGATCCAACTCAGGGAACATCACTAAAAGCCCTTCCAGGGCAGGAGTTACAGGCTGTACCCGCGGTGCCTAGAACCCAGACTGTTATTTTTGTTGAATAATTAGTTAATCATGTCAAGGAAATCTTCCCTGAGTAACCAAGACAGACACCCGCTCTGCTCTGCACTACCCTCTGTGACTCCTTGGCCCCTCCTCCCCCCGCGCACACCTTGTCGGTGCTTTGTTAAAGCTTCTTGAGGCAGGCGTCATTTCTTATGCCGATTTCTTTTTCTTCAGTATCTAACTGTACCTAGCACATAACTCTGTACGATCGGCATGCCATTTCACATTATGTATCTTGTGGGCTCCGCCAGGCCCGGCCCGGCCCGGCCCGGCGTCTTCGCCTCTACCCCTAGCCAGTATCTCCAGTGCCCTAGAATATTTCCTACACACGCTCTGGGGTTGCTTTGCCCAAAACGGGACTCGTGACGACCCCGCCCACAGCCGGGATTGAAGGGCGGAAGCAAAGCCCACCTCGCCCGGCCTCCCGGGATTGGTGCCGCCGGGGCCAGGAGGCGGGGACGGGTCGCGGCTGCTGCTGACGCACTCGGGGCCAGAAAAGCCTGCGGACTGGCAGGCCAAAGGCAAACCGAGAGGCCAGGCGGAGGTGAGGACGCGGTGGCCGAATGTGGGGGACGGGCGGGAGCGGAGGACACCAAGGACCGAGGCGCTGCCCACGTCCGCCTCGCCACCTGCTGCACTCGGCCAAGCGCGATGCTGGAGCCCGAAGCTGGCCCCGCCCCAGGGACTGCGCCTGGGGGCCGAGGAGGTCGTCAGCCAGGTCTTGTCTTCCAGACCGGGAGGCTCGAAGCTCCTGGACCACGAGGAACCACCCAACATGGCATCGGAGGTAAGTGGGACCTCAGGGACCCCGGTCCTCCGAGCCTTCAAAGAAGGGGAAGGGGCACCCTGGGAGTCAGCCAGGGTCGGGACTCGTGGGGATCCCCTGCTGCCAGACCTGCCTCCGGCAGCCCTCCTGATAATTACCCTTCCAGTCTCCAGGCGGTGGGCACTCCCTGGCGCACCTGCCGGAACCCGGGAGAGGCCTTTGTCCCTCTCCCACCACTCCTCAGGCGGTCAGTGTGGCAAACCCACCAAAGCACACTGCTGGGAAGGTGGTCCTGACCAGACTTCCTGCTGCAGCAATTGTCCCCGTGTAGCAGAGTCCACATGACTCTGGCAGGTAGAAAGAGCCAGGAGGTAGAGGGCTGTGCCCTGCAGCCCCAGTGGCCTCAGTGCCCAGAAGCTTCCTGTCTCACTGGTCTCTCTTCATTGGCGGGGTGGGGGGGAGGGGACGACACCCCTCGGTTCTCTTCCTGACCACTGAGTGGCAGGAGTCTGAGGCACAAGTTCCTTTCCTTGGGCCTCAGTTGATTTTTCTGGCAAATGGGGGTAATAATAGCTGTCTGCCTCCCTCTGTCAGGTACTGGATCATGAGGTCACGGCTTTGAATCCTTTGGGTAAAAGGGGCTGTTTGCTTGATCTCAGTGGGCCTGAGAAGCAGGAGGTCTTGACTCCAGTGTTTAGGGCCCTCATTAGCTGGCAATTCACTTCCTCCTGGGCCTCAGTCTGTTCATCTGAGTAACTGGGATAAGAATGCCTGTGCTGCTAGCTTCTGGGTCATGGTGGTGGGCTGGGAGCAGGGCCTGGACTTTGGAGCCAAGCAGACTTGGTTTCTGAAGCAGTCACTCGATCTCCCTGAACCTCTCATTTGTAAAATAGGGGTGACAGTGCCCACCTTATAGGAGGGTGGAACCCCACATATAGAATGCCGAACACAGGGCCAAGCAATATGTTCAACAAATGGTGGCTAATGATACTAACAGTAACAACATAGGAATTTCCCTTGTGCATGCTCAAATTGGCTGTTCATTCATCGCAGCCCAACCCAGTGCCCCTGGTCTCGGCCCCAAAGGAATTGTTCTGGCCCAGTTGTGCCCTGGTTTGGACCAGTGCCCTCTCCCACCACATTGGACCTCCCTTTCTCCTCAGTGCCCAGGTGGTGGCATCTCACTCTGACGTCTTCCTGGGGCCCTTTGAAGCCTGCCAGTGGGGTGGAAGCTTGGCCCCAAGACAGAATGGGCTGCTTTTAGGAGACCAGGGCACCAGGTGACCTCTGTGTGCCCCAGGCCGTCTGTGGGCTGGCACTAATTAGCTTGGCTGCAGCTTCTCTTGTTAAGTAGTTGTTATTACTAATGACCCAGGCAGGGGGTCTAGGGGCCTGCCAGAGGCAGTGCCAGACCTCTGGTTGAGGGGCAGGCTGCTCTCCATCTTTGCTGGCTGGCCCTGGCCCCCTGACCCCAGTAGTCAGAACTGGGGCCCCAAGTAGTGCTTTGCTGGAGATCTAGGCTTGCTGGGGCAGCAGAGAAGTAAAGGGCAGTCCCAGATTGAAAGGAGCGGGGGCTGTTTCTGCAGGGCAGAGTCCTCTGTTGGCCAAGGCAACTGAGGGGTCAGCTCAGAGCTTGGGGCCAGAGCATGGTAGAGGCCCCATGGTGCACATAGAAGCCAAGCTAAGGCACACCCTGGCCTCGGCAGTCTTCGGCCTTTTCCTTAGTAATACCTAGAATTTACTGAGTCCTTATTGAGTGCCAGGCACTGTGCTATGTGTGCACTTGGCAAATATTATCAAAATTCATCAACCCCGAGGCTTAGAGAGATTATATAACATGCCCATGGTCAGGTGACTAACAGAGGCCCGGGACATTACAGGGGAACAGAAGAGGACGTATCCCCAGTGGCCACTTAAACCCCACTCCACAGAAAAGATGCCAGTGAAGTATTATGCACACCTCCATCCCGGCACGCTCTCCTCTGATCCTTGGCACTCTGGGCCCTCGGACTGATTTTCAAGTGTTCTTCACCACCCCGCATCTGTCCTATGCCCTGGCCTGTGCCCTCTTTCAAAGCAGACATGTCTCTATCCCATTCCTCTGCCCTCGGCTCCTGGGGGGCAGAGGGTCAGCTAGTGACCTCCTGTAAGGCCAGTGATAATGGGTGTGTCAGGGGCGCTTTTCAAAAATGTGGTGGGTGTTGAGACCTAGGCCCTGCCCCAAGTATGGGACATGCAGATAACTCGAGCCTGATTGGGCCCCTCAGGTGCCTCCTTGCCTGCCTCTACAGCAAAAGTCCAGGTCAGGAGAGCTGGCAGAGATGTCCTGACAGGATGTGGGGTTCAGACCGTGGGCTGTGACTTCAGACTGCTGGGCTGCAGACCTGGCTCTATCCCCCCACCCCCGACCCCCAGTGAGGACAAACCGCATAACTGCTCTGTGCCTCGGTTTCCCCTTCTCTGTAGCGGAATGGTATCGGTACCCACTTCAGAGGGTTGCTGTCAGTGCATGGCGAGCAATTAGAATGGTGCCTGGCAAACAGTGAGAATTCAGCGTGTGTTGCGCCAGTATTACTACTGTTATCATTGGTGCATCGGAGCTGGATTCAAACTCTGGATTCCAGAGTGACTTCTCACGTTGGTCAGTGGCAGGAAAGGCCCCAGAAGTTTTGCCGTGGTCTCGGGAGTGTCTTGTACCCTGCCACCATTTCCCTGGAGCAGTCTCATGTGGTGAGAAAGAGCCCTAACTTCAGTGCACAGCCACATTCCCACAGTAACTCCCTGAGTGACTTTGGACAAGTTCCTGACTCTCTCTGAGCCTTAGTTTCCTTATCTGTCCAGTGAGAATAATCCTGCCTGCTGGCTCCCACCGCCATCTCACTTGATAACTCTCCTGAGGGCCCTTTGTAAGAGGCACTGTTCTCGATGGGGAAAAGGGTATTAATAGCTCCTGCTCTCCTGGCCAGAGTGGGAAGCTGTGGGGTGGCCGGTTTGTGGGTGCAGTGGACCCCATCATGGAGAAGTTCAACTCGTCTATCACCTACGACCGACACCTGTGGGAAGTGGATGTGCAGGGCAGCAAGGCCTATAGCCGAGGCCTGGAGAAAGCAGGGCTCCTCACCAAGGTTGAGATGGACCAGATACTCCATGGCCTGGACAAGGTACTCCCCACGCCCCAAGGCCCACCCAAGAGCCCCTCCCTATGGCCCTGGCTCCCACCAAATCTCCGAGTGCAGATTACGGTATCATCCCAAGCTCCTCAGTTTTTATGATTATACACCTAGAGAGATGCCCTTTACCCATGTGCTGTGCTCACTGTCTCTTGTCACCCTTTGATACCCCATGGCCTCATGGCTCATGGGCAAAGGTGCATTGGGCCTGAGATGCTCCCTGGGGGGTGGGAGCACACAGATCCTTCCTGTGGAGCGCTCCCAGGACTCAGCTCCAATACAGGAACAGTCAGTGGTCAGGGTGAGAGTGGGAACAGGGCTGGGCCCTCTTGGCCGATGATGCCCGCCTGCCTGACCCCCGAGTCGCTGCCATTTGCTATAGGTAGCTGAGGAGTGGGCCCAGGGCACCTTCAAACTGAACCCCAATGATGAGGACATCCATACGGCCAATGAGCGGCGTCTGAAGGTACAACCGTCTCCCACCTCTCTGGCCTCCTCTCTCTGCCTTTCCCTGGGCCACTTTGAGCATAAGCAACAATTATTCTGTTCCCTTTGTCATTGGATGAGGTACAGGTGGGAATTCAGAACAGGAGGCCTCAGCAGAGATGGCAGAGACTTGGGCGAGACCAAGACCAAGGCCCCGGGATATGGCGGGGGGGGTGGGATATAGGGTGCGGAGGAAGCACATTTACCTGGGCAGGCCCCACTGGGCCATGAGTGAGCAGCAGACCCTGACCCATGCCTCCCTCCACCTCTAGGAGCTCATTGGTGAAACAGCAGGGAAACTGCACACAGGACGAAGTCGGAATGACCAGGTGCCACCAGCCCCTCTGCCCCCCACCCTGTGCTTCCCAACCTTGGGGAGCTCAGACAACAGAGTTTGAGTTCTGTAGAGGTCCCAGCTCCCCAGAGAAGCCACACATCTGTCTCCCTGAGTGCCACCTCCTCCCCCCCACAGGTGGTCACAGATCTCAGGCTGTGGATGCGGCAGAACTGCTCGACACTCTCTGCTCTCCTCTGGGAGCTCATCAGAACCATGGTGGATCGGGCAGAGGCGTGAGTCTCCTGGGGACACCCAGGTGGCAGAGAGGGGCATGAGGGCAGCCAGAATCTCTTCTCTCCTGAGATAGTTTGAATAGCAGACCTAAGTGGCAGGGATGCAGAGAGTAAGGGAGCCAGGCCCTAGGGTCCAGGGGATCCCAGAACTCCTGGACTGAGTGAGGCAGAGCAGCCGGGAGCAGGGCATTTATTGCAGTGTTTCCTACCCCCATGCCAGCCTAGCACAGCAGGCAAGCTCACCTTTTGAAGATTCATAAACAAGAAAGTAAGGCACTGGGCAGGTGCCCTGAATCCTGAGGAAAGAGGCTGACAGTGCTGGGGCAGCCAGAGTCACTCTTCAGCCTGCCTGTGCCCCACGTCCTTCATCCTCACCCAGCATGGCTGGAAAAGAACAGAGCCGAAGGCTCCCTCCCCACAGCCTCATCTCAAGCTTTGGCTTCTGTGCCTTGACTGCTGAGATGTCTGTATTTGGTTTCAGAGACAGGGCTTATCCCTCCTCTTCCCCAATTCTCTGTTACCCCTGTTTCACAGGCCTCACCAGTTGGGGGGAAACAAGCAGTATCACCTTGTAGGGACTGGGAGAAATGAGGAGGCACTGCTGATGAATACAGTTTCTTTTTGAGGGTAGTGAAATGTTCTAAAATTGATGTGGTGGTGGTTGGACATTAAAGTGTATACTTTAAATGGGTGAATTGTATGTGAGTCATATCTCAATAAAGCTGTTTATTAAAAATACAAATTAGAACCACCACTCACAGCACCTCTGCCCTACCTACTTTGAAGTGCTCCCAGGTCTTCTGGGTTCCTTGGGAGCTTCTCCCATGCTCACAAACATGGCTGCCACCACCAGGTGGTACCCTGGCTGTACACCTCCTCCCCTGCCCTGGACTCTTCTGAGATTTGCTTCAAGTTGTAGAGACCCAAGCTGAAGGTGTAATCCAAGCCTTGCCCCCAGGAGGCCCTACAGCTCTGGCCCACTTCTGACCAGAGCTGTGGGGCCTTCTTACAACGTTTGTCTCCAGGAGATCACTCGGTCGCTCATGCAGGCAGATCCTTTGTAGGCTGCCGTGCTTTTCCCTGGAAGGGCCCAGGCCTGCAGAGTCTGGGTGTCACAGGCAGGCCTCGCCTGAGCCTCTTGAGCCCCTCAGGCCCCCGCTCCTGCTCTTCCTCTACAGGGAACGTGACATCCTCTTCCCAGGGTACACACACCTGCAGAGGGCTCAGCCCATCCGCTGGAGCCATTGGATCCTGAGGTGAGTTTGAACCGTGATGGAAGGGAGGGCCCCTAGGCTGCTCTGACCTTCCTTACCCCTGGCTCCCACAGCCATGCCGTGGCACTGACCAGAGACTCTGAGAGGCTGCTGGAGGTGCAGAAGCGGATCAACATCCTGCCCCTAGGGAGGTGAGTTAGGTCCCAGGACGCCAAGGGTGGAGGCAGAGAGGTGCTGCCACATAGTTAGCATGGCCCTTGGGAGTTGACAGAAGAGGAGCCAGGAAGGACAGAGAGGAACAGAAAGCCAGGGACCCTGCATGGACTCACATTTCTCTCTAAAATGTGAACAACTAAGCTAGCAAGTATGTCAGAGCAAGGGCAGGGCTCTCCAGAGCAGCTCCAGAGAGCCAGCCAGTTGCCCACAGCCTGCTATGTCCCCTACATGGGGACAAGTGTCAGACACCAAGCTGACGGGGCTGTAGCCCTGACAACCAGAGCTCAGCTCTGGGTGTGCATGCGTGCACGTGTCAGGGCGTGTTTGCCAGGAGCCCTGGTCACTCTGAATCCCCTGTCCCTGCAGTGGGGCCATTGCAGGCAATCCTCTGGGTGTGGATCGGGAGCTGCTCCAAGCAGGTGAGTCCCCGCTCTTTGGGATATCACCATCAGCTCCCACCGGGTCTTGCAAAGAGGGCAAGGGTCTGGGCGACACCTTCATTTCTTACCTATGGACACTGAAGTTAGAGAGACAAGGGAAGGCCTGTGGTGGGATTGCATGTCCCTGGGTAGACTCAGGGTTTCCGCCTCCCTCCTGGGTCCTGTACAAGAGACCCTCTCCCTCCCTCCACTCTGAAAGGGGTCCCTGGGGAGGTAGGTGGGCAACCTCATTCCTGGTCGCAGTGGCCCCTCCTTGCCCTCCAGCCCAGCCCTATTGCCTTCCACTTTTCCCCTTCGTCCAGAACTGAACTTCGGGGCCATCAGTATCAACAGCATGGATGCCACCAGTGAGCGAGACTTTGTGGGTGAGTCCTGGGGACCAACCCACCTATTCTCTGGATTGTTCCCCACCTTTGTTTGCCAGCCCTGGCTTCTCTCCAGTTTCCTCCCCCCCAGCCCCCAACCCTCATGGTCTGCCTGGAGATTCTCTAGGCTGGGTTAGGAGCAAGAGAGGCCTGGTGACCAGAGAGCCTGCTCTCCCTTTCCTCCCACAAGCTGAGTTCCTGTTCTGGGCTTCGCTGTGCATGACCCATCTCAGCAGGATGGCTGAGGATCTCATCCTCTACGGCACCAAGGAATTCAGCTTTGTGCAGCTCTCAGATGCCTACAGGTAAGGCGGCACTCTGCCTTGTCCCAGCTCTGCTCCCACCAGCATGACTTTCTTCCTCTTCACCCTAGTCATCAGACCAGCCAAGGGGCAGGAGAGCCCCTTGAGCCCCAGCATCTCTGTCTCCAGCACTGGAAGCAGCCTGATGCCCCAGAAGAAAAACCCAGACAGCCTGGAGCTGATCCGGAGCAAGGCGGGGCGAGTGTTTGGACGGGTGAGAAGGGCAGGCAGTGGGGCAGGGCCTCTGGCTGACCTGGAGGGTCCTGAGGGAACTTCCAGGATGGGCTCCGAGGTCCAGCCTCCTGATCCTCACTCCACCCTCAGTGTGCTGGGCTTCTGATGACGCTCAAGGGACTTCCAAGCACCTACAACAAGGACTTACAGGTGCAAACCTGGGGCAGGGGGCACCCAACTGCATATGCACCGCATGCTAGTTACAGGGCCCTGGCACTTACAGGCCCTTGACTACCCTGAGAGCTCTCTCTCCTCCCTCGGTGAGGGGTGTGCAAGGTGCTGAGTGTTCCCAGTGGAAGGGAGTGAGGGTGCCCCGGTGGGGGATGTGGCCGCTGGGCCCTCACATCCTGCCATGTGCCTACCAGGAGGATAAGGAAGCTGTGTTTGAAGTGTCAGATACCATGAGTGCCGTCCTCCAGGTGGCCACTGGCGTCATCTCTACGCTGCAGGCAAGATATGCCTCTTCTCCCCAAGGTCCCTAAACTCGGGCGGGCATGCCAGGAGGGTAATCTTGAGAGGTGGTCCAGAAGACCTGGGGCAGGGAGAGGGGTATGTGCTTGTTCCTTCCCTTAAGGAACAGTGAAAGGACAAAATTCAGGCTGCTGCAATAGAATGGCAGTGGGTTAGAGTCAAGGAGTCCCACCATCTGGCCTGACTAGATTTCCTTTGTAATCCTCTATTAGGGGAAGTTTCAGTATACAACAGCTGAGTGACTACATGACAAACCCTACATACCAACACCCGGCTTTGACAATAATCACTTCATGGCCGTTCTTGCTTCAGCAGCTATCTTTACATACTATCACCCTCTCCCCCACCCCCCACCCTTTTTGATAGAAATCCCCACCTTCATATCGTTACATCTCTAAATAGTTCAGGGTGTGTCTATAAAGCAGTGGTCCTCAAAGTGTGCTTCTGGGACCAGCGGCATCAGCATCACCTAAGAACTTGGTAGTAGTCGGTCCTAGGCCTCGCTCTAGACCTATCGTATCAGAGATTCCAGGGGTAGGGCACAGCGATTTGTATTTCTGGTAAATCCTCCAGGTGATTCTGATGCATGCTAAAGATAAGGACTCTGAAAAGTTAAAGGCAACCCCAGTAGCACACCTAAAAATTTTGAAAAGATAGCTAGAGCAGAGAGAGCAGAACAGAGTGGGAGAGAGTGGATCTTTCCGAGGCAGGGGACATCCTGACTGAGGGTATATGCCTGGGGCTGGCACCTTCAGGCCCCAGGGTCCCCGGGACTTATCATTCCCATGCCTGTGCCCCCAGATTCACCCTGAGAACATGGCGCGGGCTCTTAGTCCTGACATGCTGGCCACTGACCTCGCCTACTACCTGGTCCGCAAAGGGGTATGTGTGGGGCTCCTGGGGTGGATGGGTGACGGAACAGCGATGCCGCCCCCGCCACTCTTCACCAGGGGTGGTCAAGGAGGGCACGGGCACCCAGAGCAGACCAGGGAGCAGAGGCAGCCTGTGTCAGCGCTGCCTTCCACCTGGCGCCCGTAGATGCCATTCCGTCAAGCCCACGAGGCCTCTGGGAAAGCTGTGTTCTTGGCTGAGACTAAAGGGGTCACCCTCAACCAGCTGTCGCTGCAGGAGCTACAGACCATCAGGTGCAGCCCCTCTTCTTCTCCCTCTCCTGCCTCCCAGGGGACGAGGCTAGGTCGCCTGAGGCCGGAGTGGCTGGGCTGCCCTAGCCCATCTCCTTTTTTCCCCTAGCCACCTGTTCTCTGGTGATGTGAGCCGTGTGTGGGACTATGGGCACAGTGTGGAGCAGTATGCTGCCCTGGGTGGCACCGCCCGCTCCAGTGTCGACTGGCAGATTGGCCAGGTGCGAGCACTGCTGCGGGCACAACAGGCCTAGCCTCCTCCCCATCCCGCTCTCAAATAAAGTGGGCCCGAGAGGAGGCTGCTGCATTTCCTGCCTAGCCTGTCTTTCTCAGCAGTGGGCTTTTGGGGGGTCCGTTGAGGGGCAGTGGAGGTCATCAAGGAAGTGGAGAGACGGCAAGGATGGCAACTCCCCGGTGGGGAAGGGAGGAGAGAACATAGCCATCTCGTCAGAGCCTCTGCTCCGGTCAGGCCCCCGCTCCCGCCCCCCCTCATTCCACGGCTTCACAGTGACTTGCCTGGGTGTCATGGCAGGAGTGGCTTTCCTGGAGCCCTGGTGGGACCTGATGGGTTTGGTTAACCCAGTCAGTCCCTGTCCATCTTCCTTCCAGTGCCCTCTAGGCTCCTCTGCTCCCATTCTGCCCTTGCTTAACCCACCCTTCCTTGGACCGTCACGCACAACTACAGCATACCATTGCCCTCCTGAGGGGAATGAGATATTTGGTGTGTGATGTCCGGCCCTAGGCGAGCTTCATGCACAGGTTAAGAAGACACCTTCTCCACCCTAGAGAGTGATGTGCAGTTAATTCCCAGGCACTAACCATGGAGGATCACAGACACAGGAGGGGTTGTCACATTGAGTCAGCAAGGGGCCTGAGGCCAGGCCTGGCACACAGTAAGTGTTCACTAGCAGTGAGTCCCCAGAGCCAGTGGAGGTGCAGAGACCTCTTTTACGGGAACCTCACCAAAGTCCTGATAAGAAATGTCTGAAATTTACACTTTATTAACAACAAAGACAAACAAGCTAAACTCAAGAACGATAACCCCTCCCAAGTGATTCTGGGAGCAGTGAAAAGACTAAAGAAGCAAAACTTCAGCAGTGGGGACACAACACTAAAATCCATAAAGGGTTAGAGCTACAGGTCACAGGTAAAATCTAGAGCAGCAGTCCCCAACCTTTTTGACACCAGGGAGCTGTGCTCCTGTGGGAATCTATCGCCTGATGGTCCGAGCTGGAGCTGAGGTGGTGATGCTAGCCGTTAACCTACCTCCTGCTGTGCGGCCCAGTTCCTAAGAGGCCACGAACCGGTACCAGTCTGCGACCCAGGGGTTGGGGACCCCTGTTCTAGAGTAATGGTTCTCAAAATTTGGTTCCTGACACTTATTACCTGGAATAAGTGTCATAAATTGTTATAAATGGAAACTCGCAGGCTCCACTGAGACGTTCTAAATCAGGTTCTGGGTGGGGCCTAGGGAACCGGTTTAACAAATCCTTCAGGTGTTGCTGATGTGTGCTCTAGTTTGATAATCACTGGCTTCTAGAACTTGGTTAAACTTGCTGCAGATCAGCAACGTCAGCCTCCCCTGGGTCCCACGCTGCCCTGATTTGGAATCTGCATTTTAACAAACTTCCCTGGTGCTTCTTGTACACATTATCGTCAGAATTGCTGATCCAGAGAATGCCTAAGATCTAGTCTCAGAAATGAAGGAGGGACTTAATGTCCATTGAACAGCCGATAGGATTAAAACAGTAATTGTAATACATGTGACACAGGGAACGAAGCCTGATCTACCACCTGCATCAATGGGGCACACTCCTATCTAATTGGGAACTCTACTTTCAGACAATCCTATGAAAAGTTCCCCATTAACCTGAACTAGAATCAGCCTCCCAGTGCTTCCCACGAGTGGTCCTGGCCACATGTGGTCTGATCTGAACAAAAGGAATGAGCCTCTCATAGCTCAGGGAGAGCAGAGTTTATGTGGCTTTTCTCCAGACTCTGCCCATGTCTGTTTCTATTCTGCTACCAACTGGCCTAATCTTTGTCTCTTGTCTACTTTAAATTTTTTTACACCAAGGCTCAGTATAACCTTATATTGGTTTCCTATTGCTGCTAGAACAAATTACCACACACTTGGTGGCTTAATACAACATAATTCTTGAGGTCAAAAGTCTGAAATGGATTCGACTGAGACAAAACAAGTGTCCGCAGGAAATGCTTCTTCCAGCGGCTCTGGAGGAGAGTGTGTTTCCTTGCCTTTTCCAGTTTCTAGAGGTACCTGTACTCCTTGGCTTGTAGCCCCTTCTTCGATCTTCAAGGCCAGCAGTGTAACATCTTCAAATCTCTCTGACTCTGACCCTGGGCTTTCGTTGTCACATCTTCTGACTGATTTTTCTGCCTCTTGTAAGGACTCTTGTAGTTACTTTCGATGCACCTGGATACACTAAGATAATCTCTCGAGATCCTTAACTGAGTCGCATCTACAAAGTTCCATTTACTGTGTTAGATAACATTCACAAGTTTGGAAGTTTATGATATGGACATCTTTGGAGGGTTATTCAGTCTATTACATTCTGCTGTTTGGCTCTCAAAGATGAACATCCATCCCATATGCAAAATACGCTCACTCCATCCCAAGTTCCCCCAAAGTCTCAACCCATTACAGCATCAACTCATGTTCTAAATTTCATCAAAATCTCATCGGTTCAAACGTCCCATATTTCATCACCTAAATTAGGTACGATAGAGTGAGACTGGGTACAATTCATCCTGGGGCAAAATTCTCCAGGAGCCTATGAAACTCATGATTGTGGTAAGTTCACACATAATAAACTCAAGAAACAAATTACTCCCCAAATACAATGCTAGTTTAGGCATAGGATAATAGTTATAGACATTTCAATTTAAAAAGGAAGAAAATGGAAGGACAAAATGAGTCAGTGGTTCCAAGCAACTTTGGAATCCAATGTGGAAAACTCCATTAGATTTCATGGCCTAGGAATAATCCTCCGTGGCTCTTGGCTCTGCCCTCTGGGCCTGCACCACTACCCTCAGTTTCTTCTTCCTAAAGTATAGTACATGCTTACAGTTGAATGGCATATCGGTCTGTTTTCTGCCTGTAGAATTCTGAAAGAACTTTGAAAGCCTTCTTTATTTTTCTCCTCTCTATTCCTTTTAATCGAGGCTGGTAGTGATTTTGCTGGTATAACATTCTCAAGAACTTTGTGGGTTTCCTGTGTTTGTCACAGGAGTTCACTTCATTAGACAGTAGGTTCCTCCACAGATCTTTACTAGATAATTTCATCTCTATTTCTGGTTTCTGCTGAGATATCTCAGGGCATCCATGAGTCATGTGCCAACCCTTTTTAAAGAGCACACTCGACAGAATATTCTGACCTTTTGATCCTTTCCAGGCATTAGCAAAAGGTTGTCCAACCATACCCTAGGCTTTCTAAAGCATGCTTTCCTGACAGTGAATCTCCTAATTTTAGGATTTTTGCAAAGCTGAAAATTTCCCAAATCACCAAGTCCTGGTTTCTGTTTGCTTAACAGTTTTTATCCCAATTTCTCTCTCTTTCTCTCTATCTCTCTCTCTCTTTATTTTTTCTTGCATCTTTTACTCTTGGCTGCAAGGGATGCTGAAAAGCAAGCGCCTGGCAAAAAGGAATGAGGTTGTCTTATTAGCTCTTATTCTAAACTTTAATTATCCATTGTGTGTTGGGGCAGGACCCACTTCACTGAGCCTGTTGTCTTCTGAACAAAATCAGGGTCTATAACTAAGGAAGACAGGAAGGGAGCAATGGCTGTTAGTTTAGTAGCTTATGGTACCCAAAAAGATGAGTAATGCCCTATTGAAGCACTGAGATTGCACTACATGTGTGGCAGTCACAAAGGTGGTAGACTTCGAGTCATCAAAACTCCAGAGGTATATTCTACATGAGCACTGTGGAACTATGTCTCATAGTTTTTTGAAAAAGTGCAAACTAAAATTTTCCTTTGTGTAATTAATTCATGCAGTTAAAGTTGGCTTGGTTCTCTCACTTCTGCAAAATTTGTCCAGGATTTCATCTATTTTTCTCATTTGAAATCACTAATAAAAACAATTTTGAGAGAAAGGCTGTGGCCGAAGGCTGATGGCATGTAATATGAGACTCTCCTAGCTTACCTTTCATTGGTATTTGAAGGACATGTTTACTCACCCAACTAGGATTCTACCGAGTAATGCTGTCATCCGTTCTACATTTTTTTCAAAAACGAATCGTAAAAGACTTTTTCAAATATCTTGCTAAAATTCAAATAGTCTCTGTTAGAGTATTACCTTATCCAGGTCCAAAAGAGATCAAGGATGTTATCAAAAGTTTCCAAAAAGCGCCGAACTTAGTTTTATTAGTTTTATAGAATTTGTATTGAAGTGAAACTGTATTGGGTCCCAGTACCTACCAGTTTATTTTCTAAATGCACATTATCCATTCCTTTTACTCATTGTTTCATTCTTTAATAATAGCTTTACTGAGATATAATAAACATGCCACAAAGCAAATTCTTTTAAGGTGTTCAGTTTAATAGTTTTTAGTATGTTCAGAGTTGTACAATCATGACCACAATCAATTTTCGAATATTTCATCACCCAAGAAGGAAACCCGCAAGAAATTTTGTGCTCCAAAGGAAATGAAAAGACATCCGCAGAATGGGAGAAAAATGTTTGTAAGTCATACATCTGGTAAGGGTTTAGTATCCAGAATATAAAATAAACTTTTATAATGCCGCAATAAAAAGACAGCCCGATTAAAAATGGTCAAAGTATTCTCCAAATGTACAAGTGACCAATAAGTACATGAAAAGATGTTCAACATCTTTAGTTGTTGGGAAAATGCAAATCAAAACCGAAATTAGGTACTACTTCATGCTCCCTAGGTCTGAGTTAATTTTTGTATATGGTGTGAGGAAAGGATCCAGCTACATTCTTTTCCGTGTGGAAATCCCTTCGTTTTAGTACCATTTGTGGAAAAGACTCTTCATACCCAATTGAATTGTCTTTGCATGGTATATGAATTATACTTCAATAAACCTGATATAAAAATACTATTATTTTTAACAAATGAGTATATCTACATGTGCCATACACTGTTCTGAATGCTCATTAGTTTGCTTAGAATTTATGGGACTCACTTTCTTCCTTTTCTTGAAAGTTTACTGGTTCTTCCAGCCTACCCTGCCTCAGCAGCCGCCGCCACATTGCCTACAGTAATTCTGCAAACTCATCAACTTGCTCTAAATCCCAAACTCTTCCCAATTCCTGCAGCCATCTGAATGCTCAAGGTTGGGTCTATAAGCTCAGCCAAACATTCAGTTTTTCAGTTATTGCTCAGCTTTCCTTCCCCTCCCTATAACAGCTAAACCCAAACTTTCACACCTTCAAGCTACCAACCTGATCTCCCCCAAACCCCTGGAAACCACTAATCTCTCTGTTTCTATGGACGTATCTATTTGACATTTCATGTAAATGGATACATATAATATGTGGCTTTTTGTGCTTGGCTTCTTTTACTTAGCATAATGTTTTCAAGGTTCATTCATCTTGTAGCATGTATCAGAAGTTCGTTTCTTTTCAAAGGCTGAATAATACTTCGTTGAATGGATATACCAGCTGTTTAACCAGTAATCAGTTGATGGAAGTGAGTAGAGCTGCTAAGAACATTCATGTACTAGTTTAACAAAAACCTCTTAATAGCTAACTCCCCTTCATAAGAGGATCATACACCATGAGCAAATGGGATTTTCCTCTGAAATGCAAGATGATTTGACATACAAAAATCAATATAATATACCACATTAAGAAGAGGAAAAGAAAAACACAAGAAAAGGGAAATCACATGATCATCTTCGTTGATGCAGAAAAAAACATTTGACAAAATTTAACACTTTCATGATAAAAACAAGACTAGGAATAGAAGGACACTAATTAAACATAATAAAAAGCCATAGATGAATAACCCACAGCAAATATCATACTCAATGGTAAAAGATGAAAAGCTTTAGGGCCCATCTTAATCCAGATGACTTCATCTTAACTAATTACATCTGCAAGGACCCTATTTTTAATAAGGTTACTATTATGAGTTAAATCATGTGACCCAAAAAATGGTATTTGAAGAGAAAAAAATCAATGAAACAAAAAGTTCGTTCTTTGAAAAGATCAACAATATCGTCCAACTTTTAGCTAGACTGTCTTAGTCTGTTGAGGATGCTGTACCAAAAATACTACACACTGGGTAGCTTCTATACAACAAATCTATTTTTCGCAGTTCTAAAGACTAGAAGTCCAAGATCAGGGTGATAGCATGGTTGGGTGAGGGCCTTTTCTGGATCAGAGACTTCTCTTTATATCATCACATGACCTAGGGTTTCCCCTTGCATGTGTACCTTCTCTCAATTCACAACAGGTAAGAGTCTTAGTAATTATAATGCTACAACACCCCAGGAGCTATCACTCTACTTATTAGAGCAACAATCCAGTCCTTGCTCAATGACCAGAAGGTTGTCTAGTTCCAGAGTCCATCCTGAGGAGTGGCTTTCTAGAGCTACTTCCGCTTGGATTCTTTTGAAAGCAGATCCTAAGACACAGATCTATTAGATGCAGGCATTTACTTGGGAAGTCATTTTAGGAGTATGGCAGCAGGAAGAGTAAGACAGAGAAAAAGGAAAACCGATATCAAAGTGCACTATCAAGGTCACCCCTGGACTGTATATGTCTCCCAGAGTTGCCTTCCTAGAGATGGAAAGGCTGAAACATTCCTCCGATGTTTCCTGTGTCCCTATGGATGAGGTGTCTCCAGATTATTAATACCCATTTCATCCCCACTTCTCAACTCTGTTGCGGAAGCAGAATTTAGCAATTTAGAGCCTGCTTGGGGTAGGACGATGTGGCAGGGAGTGAGACTAAGCTTTCATGGAATCGGTCATTGGTAATTGCACTTTCAGGGAATTCCGCTCTGGCAGAAATCAGAGGCTGCTGAGGGGACAGGACATAGGGCACCAGAGATATCTGCTGTACCATGTGAGCGATTGTTAGCATCCCTCTTAGGAACAATTGTTAGCACCCCTCTTAGGGCCTATAGAAGGAGCTCTGGCAAGTGAGGGGCCCTAAAACTTAAACTTTTAGCTTCAACGTTAATCCACCTCTGTAGGGAACTCACATTTGTCCTGAAAGGAATGATTGAGCAGGGACGTTTTGACTCAAGTCAGCTCTCCACACAGGGTTTATTCTTTTCCTTGGTCCCCCATCACTCTGGAGTCTTGGGGGTCTCTCTCAGGCACACCCTGCCTGATCCTCTGTCCGGCCCTCCTGAATCCCATGGGTCAAGTGAAGGGCAGTCAGGAAGTGTCGGTATTGTCATGGGCTGTATTGAGATACTGCTGAGTTTTAAGGATGAGTTCATGTATCTATTGCCTTATCCAGATAAACTAGAATGAAGATGAAAAAGATTGGATTTAGCAATTTAGGTTAGGAGGAAATGCCCTGGGGGGCTTATTTCAGGCCAGGGAGGAATTAGTCCCTCAAGGCCACTTTAGATTTTCAAACTGTTCACTGGAAGTCAAGGGGACACATCATTTGCTGGCTATCAGGCAAGTCGTCTGACAGATATTTGAGAAAAGACTCAAAATAAAGGCAGGAACTGTCCATGAGAGTTAGAAATCAGTAACTTCCCACGTTTGTTACCTCGGTTTCTCTTTCTTCTTCTGCAGAGCTACTGCCAGGTGAGTCAGAATAGAGAGAGTTTGTGCGCCCATATTTTGGAGCAAGAGAGAGAGAGAGCTAGTCTCATTGGGAGGGGAGGGGTCTGGGGAAGAGAAGATCCCCCAAGGTGGGTGCTGGCAACAAGTGAGAAAGAAAAAAGGGGAAGCAGGTATGAAGATGTTCCAGAAGAAAAGCTATGGAGTGGTGATTGACCCCACGGAGACACAAGGTGTTGGTGAAGATCTTCAGAGGACTTTGAAGAAAAACCAGGAGAGGACAGCTTCGTTCAGAGAAAAATGGAGAGCTTTAGTCTGATAAAGATGTAAGTTTAGAGTAAATGGAGATGTGAAAATAGGAGCTTGTAGGCTGGGAAAAATCTCAGAAGTAGTGGAGTCTTGGAAAATGAAATAATCTACAGTGTAGTCTAGTAAATGAGCATCCATGGGAAAAAGTCAAGGAGGTCACGGAACTAAGGCCACTCACAGGAACGTGAGTGGGATGGAGAAGGGGCCTGAGCCAAGGGCCAAATTCCTTAGTGAATTCAGAGTGTGTGGCGGGTGGGGGGTGGGGGACGACTTGGGGGCCAAGGAATGTAAAGATGAAGATGTCTGAACTGAATGTCGAAGAATGAGAATGATGAGGAAGAGTTAACTAGTCAAGGAGGAAGGGCTGCTAGGCAGAGGTAAAAGCATTAGCCGAGCACAGAGGCATGCAGGAACATGGGAGCCAGGAATGGGTCAGATCATGACAAAGCATGCTAAGGAGTTTGGATTTATCCTCAAGGAGACAGGGACCTGCTCATTCCTCCTCTTCATCTCGTGTACTCATAATGTTTGGTGGGGGGTGTCTCAGGGATTATCTTTTGATCCATTTTCTACCTGCCTTTATTCCTTTGGTGACTTCATCCATTCTCAGTGCTGACAACTCCCAGATTTATACTTCCAGATTCATATATTTGTATAAGGCTGCCAACTTAGGTAGGGGAAGAAAACTGGCTAATGGGCTTTACCCACCAGGATCTGTTTTTCGGGTTCAGAAGTTCAGAAACTGTTTTATCAGTTCTCTATTCTCCTTCTCCCCCTTCCCATTAGATGGTAGTGTCAAACAAACTCAAAAAGAGTCTGGAGGCTTTGGCTAGAAACAAAGTATAAAGAACTATCAAGGGCCTTAAAATTTACAAACCAGAAACACTACTAGGCAATACCCAGAGTGCTTCAAGGAAGAAAGAAACGCTAAGAGTTCTTAAAATGAAAAGCACATTCTTTAGCAGACTCAACCCTCCATTCTTAGCCTTTGGATTGGCCTGAGATGGTAGTCTTCTACATGTTGGTCTGGATATGTGAATATTCTTTCCTAGTCCTTTAGGGAGCAATCAAAGGGTTATCTGGATTTTTGATGTATATCCAAGTATTGGCTCAGGACTGGAAAGTTCAAAAGTTTAAGTTCCCGGGCTAGTTAAAAAAAGAATACAATTGTTTCCTCATACCTTAACCTACTTGATTTTTAGTAATTCATCAGCTTGTTTATAGTGAATCCATTCTATTTCTTCACTCCATCCCTCAGGGAAAATCACCTTGAACTAACTAAATAAAGACTTGTGGATAAATGAAAAATCAATTTATTGTTTGTTGTTTTTATTTTCATTTGATTTTTTAAAGTGTAGAAACTATTTATTATCAGACAAAGCCTACAGATTTATTTCTTCTTGGACACACCCACAGTGCAGCCTCGGCGGCCGGTGGTCTTGCTGTGCTGGCCTCGAAGTCCCCAGAAATGGTGTAATTTTCTTCAGTCGTTGCGGGTCTTCACAGAGTTTGTTGTCCAGACCATTGGCCAGGACCTGGCTGTAGTTCCCATCCTTCACGTCCTTCCGTCTGTTTCAGAACCAGTCTCGGATCTTGTACTGGTGTGGATTTTGCATAGTGGTGATTACACGTTCCACCTCATCCTTAGTGAGCTCTCGTGCCTTCTTGGTGAGGTCAACGTCTGCTTTCTTCAAAACCACATGAGCACATCTTCACCTCACACCCTTAATTGCAGTGTTGGCAAAGGCTATTGTCGTTGCGTAGCCACAAAATGTGCTGGAACGTCTCAGAGATCATTAGAAACATGGCGGTAGCCCAAGCGGTGGTGTGTAGGCCTCCTGTGGAAAAAAGGATTGTTTGCTGCTTTTAAAAAACACCTGTTGGTTTGATTCTGATTATAAAAATAATGCCGTTCTTCATAGAAGATTTTTAAAAATCAGAAAAGTATGAGGAACAAAATGAGAATAATCTATAACACCAATAATAGCATCTCACATATTTATATTTGTGTGTGTATAATCTTAACAATATTAGGATCACAGAGTATATACTTTTGCATCCTTTCTTGTTTTCATATTGTAAGCCTTTAGACCTTGTCAGTTCCTAGAATATTTTATTTTTACTGTCCTGGGGACTCTGTTCCCAGTATCAAGGTCCACTACAAGAAACTTGCTTAGGTGAGCTTGAAATCAGAGCAAAAGTGAAAAATAATAATTTAAAAAATCAGGTAACTGCAAGAAGAGTTGTATCCAGGTTAGGTTAGTGGGGCCATAAGCCCCTCTCCTTGCACCTTTATGTGCCTGCAGTGTCAAGAGGGAGCCCAGGGTCCCAGGCAGGGATTTGGGGCCCAGGTGATCTCAGGGTCAACCCTATGGCCTAGTTCCCGGGAAAGGTCTCTCTGTGGGAAGGTTTTCCACTAGACAGGATAAAGACTTTGCCTGGGCTCACTAGATGTCCAGCAGGCATTAGCAAGCGAAGGTGTCTCAGGCTGGCCTCGTTGAAGAAACGGAGGGGGCCGTGGGGTGGAGATGTAAAAGTAGAAATTCTCTAGTTTCAGGGAGGCAGTATCTCCTGGTGCCGGCCCCTAGGGAGAGCAGTTATCAGTTACAGGGAGGTGATATCTCCAGGCGCCAGCCCCAGGGAGAAGCGCAACATTCCAAGGTGAAGATGATAAAATTGTCTATTAGGCCTTGTTTGAGCTGAGAGTTCCCCCGGATACCTTTATCTGTGTACAAAAGGTTAAAGACTAACTTCTGCTTCTTGTGACCTATTCATTCAGAAATGTAGTAGGAGACCTTATAAGTTGCCCCCCTGAGGAAGTTCGGGGCTGATCTCCTCTAACCCTGCGTGGTAGAGAGTCATTTGCCGGCCGGCTAATAAAGGCTCATATTCATCTCAATTGGCTCCATGGGTCTCAGAATCATTCGCGCCATAACAGGGTTGGAACCCCGCTATTTCCCGGATTCTCACTCTGGCCTGCGGCCCCCAACTGGCCTCCCTGAGTAGGGGAAGCAGTCAGTAATGTGAGGGCGGGGAGAGGAAGGGACACCGCGGGCAGGCGGGGAGGGCGCAGAGCCGGAAAACTCAGCCCTTCGTGGTTGGTGTTGGGGGCCAGGGATCCCTTTTCCCCAAAGTCCTAACCTCGAGCTCCCCGCTGGCCTTCCCCCACCGCCGCCCTCAGGGAGGAGGACAGGTCGCGTCCTCCGCTTCCGCCCGCATACAGCGACTCCTCCAGGCCTGGAACCCGCCTTAAAGCAAAATGGCGCCGGAGGCTTCAGGGGTGGGTCGTGACTCCGGACACGGTGCTGGGCCCTCCTCCCCCACCATTCTTAGCCCGGCGACGAGTGACTGGCGGCCGCGCGGGAACCATGGTCCGGGGACCGGCGAGGGCTTGGGCCGTGCTTGGCCCGGTTCTTTGGGGCTGCGGGCTGGCGCTGCAGGGGGGCATGTTGTACCCCCGAGAGAGCGCTTCGCGGGAGCGCAAGGATCTGGATGGCCTTTGGAGCTTCCGCGCCGACTTCTCCGACAACCGGCGCCAGGGCTTCGAGCAGCAGTGGTACCGGACGCCGCTGCGAGAGGTGGGGGCTCCAGGGGCAGGGAAGCTCCTGTAGCTAGGCTTGGGCATGCTTCCCCTTCACCTCGGAGCTGCGGTCCAGACGGTTAAAACGAACAATCTTGGAGGCGTGGGAGAGGGTGTCTGACGATTCTGAAGGAGGACACATGGACGGAGGGCAGCTCTGGGACCGAAGGTGTGTGGGGCGGGCGCCCACTGCCCCTCCAGTAGGGGAGGCCGAGCCAGAGCAGGGTCCATGGCATCCCGCAGGGTGGGCAGCTGGAGGAGGACGGGCTTTGGACATCTTGGGACCAGTTCTGCCCTGGCAGGCAGGACCTTGGGTTCCAGGTGCAGGTAGAGGACGGGGCTTAAAATCCAGCCAGCCAAGGATCCCACCTCGGGTCTCCCCGCTGACCTTGGGTTGGGTCGATGGAGAAGTGGGGCTAGGGCAGGCCTGTGTGCCCATATGGCGCTCACCTTTTCGACATGCTCGTTTTTAGGGCTTTGCCTCCCAGCATTCATCAAGGGAAGAAGAAGTGGCTGGGCGCCACTCATAGTTTCCTCAGCAAAAGCAGCCCGTGCACGGCCATCCTTCGTCTGTCACTTGATCATCTTCCTCTTAGGGTCTGGTCTCTGCAGATCCTTCTTGCTTCATTCAGACCGCACTGTGGCCCTGGGCTCACCGCCTTTTGTGGAGAGCTTGGTGCTGGCTGCCTTCAGAAAGAACTCGCCTCACTAGCCCTTGGACACAAACAGTCCTAGCAGTTGATCTCTCGTCAGCAAGTTATCCATCCGTTTAGTCAGTATTTATTGAGTTCCTACTATGTGGCAGGGCTTGTGTCATGCTGGAGATACAGCTGTGAAGGACAGAGGAAATGAAATACTCCTCTCCTCAGAGGTCACACGTGCCAAATATCAGATGTCTGTGGGAAAGCCAGGCTGCTGCCAGGCTCACTGAGCCACCTGTCCTGCTCCTGTCTTGCCTTCTACCTGAGGTGTTCAAGGGATTGTCTGTGGGGCGGTATTCCGTGGGTGCTGGCCCCAAAAGGCCTTCTCTGACTCCTAAGATAGTCCCCTGCCACTCTCCACACTTCTCACAGAGCTGATCAGCTGACAGCAGAGGCCTGTTCACCGTTTTATTCCTGGCACCTAGACCAGGACCGTAGGTGTTCACTGTACACTGTCCATTGAATGAGTGAGTGCCTGAGGTCTACTGCATGGAGTCGTGAGAATTAGATGAGCTCCATAAAAGGCATAGGTCACTTGATGGTAAAGAATAACAGTGGTAGTGTGGCCCGGAATGCCAGGGTCTGGGAGAGGCCTTCTTAAAGGCAGGGTTGCTGGGGGATCTGGCTTCTAGGGAAGGGGGCTGCCTGGGCCCTGGTCTTAGGTGGTCTGGACCTGATCCCTACCCTTCTTTCCCCAGTCGGGCCCCACCCTGGACATGCCGGTTCCCTCCAGCTTCAACGATGTGGGCCAGGATGGGCAACTGCGTGGCTTTGTTGGCTGGGTGTGGTATGAACGGGAGGCAACCCTGCCCCAGCGATGGACTCAGGACCTGGGCACAAGAGTGGTCCTGAGGATTGGCAGCGCCCAGTACTACGCCATTGTGGTCAGTGCAGCAAGCAGCAGGCAGGGCGAGTGGGCAGGTGCAGCTGCTGAGCACTCTTGGGGCTGCCTTGGGCTCTCTGGCTCCCAGCTATTCCCTGACAGCTTGCCTCCTGGGGTGGGTGGGGGTGGGGTGGGGTGGGGGGAATACACATTCCCCACACTGGGGTCTGTGCCCTGGGTCGGGGAGGGTTGCCTAATTTCCATTGGAGCTCCATTCCTATTATCAGGCTGCTGAGGTAGGTGGCAGCTGGGAAGACACCTCTCAGTGATGGAGTGCCTGAGATGGCAGCACCTGTTCCTCATGCTCTGGCTTGCTGTCCCCTCCCCATATCTCCCTGTGTCTGCAGTGGGTGAATGGGGTTCATGTAGCAGAGCATGAGGGGGGCCATCTTCCCTTCGAGGCTGACATCAGTAAGCTGGTCCAGAGTGGGCCCCTCTCTTCCTGCCGCATTACCATCGCCATCAACAACACGCTCACTCCCCACACCCTGCCACCAGGGACCATCGTCTACAAGACAGATACCTCCAGGTGAGCAGCACCTGCCCCCACATCCCAACCCCCACCCTGCCCAGTGGTCTTCCCACTAGGGCCAGAGTAGCCTTAGCAGATGTGAGGTTGATGTCCTCAGGGCGAGGCCCCAGTTGGCCATTATCCTCTCACCCTAGGTACCCCAAAGGTTACTTTGTCCAGAACATAAATTTTGACTTCTTCAACTATGCGGGACTGCACCGGCCTGTGCTTCTCTACACCACACCCATCACCTACATTGATGATATCACTATCGGCACCAGCGTGGACCAAAACACTGGTAAGGGCTCCTGGCAGGATCTGCCCTCAGCCAGGCCCACAGTGGTCTGTTCCCTGTTTGGAAAGTTGCCCCAGGAGAAAGGCTCTCCCAGCCTCTCTTAACCCTCACAGGTTCCCATTTACCTAAGAAACTAAAATCCAGCCTGTCAAAGCTGGCAAGGGCTTCAGAAATACCCATCTGGTCTGACCTCATTTTGTGAGGAAATAAATAAAGCCCAATGAAACGTAGAGCTCGCCTAAAATCACATCGCTCAGGATACATGGGGATCCCATGTCCCGTCTCCACTCTGCTGCTCTCACTCAAGCCCTCCTCACCACAGATCAAGCTCAAGAAATAAACAGTTGTTGGCTGGGGTCTCGGGGCCTAAGTGGACTCCTCAAAGTGATGGCTGCAGGGTACTCTCATCTGTACAACCCGGGACATGTACCACCTTTTTGGTTTGATCTCCCTTGTCTCCCACAGGGCTGGTGAATTACCAGATTTTTGTCCAGGGCAGTGAACACTTCCAGCTGGAAGTGTATCTTCTGGATGAGGAAGGCAAAGTCGTGGCCCAGGGGATGGGGGGCCAGGGCCAGCTGCAGGTGCCCAGTGCCCATCTCTGGTGGCCATACCTGATGCATGAGCACCCTGCCTACCTGTACTCGTTGGAGGTAATGGTGATTAGCACCGAGGCTATGGGAGGCCTTTTGCCCCTATCCAGCAGCCTTACCTGGCTTCAGCAGGGCTACAGAACAGGTGGGCAGGCAGGCATGGTCCTCTGAGCTTCCTAGTCATTTGAATTGAAGTGTTCCCAACCTGATTTTTTCAACTTTCGGTGTGGTGGCTCAAGTTTGAAGAGCAGGCTCCAGGGGGAGGGTGGGTGAAGGTTCCTCCTTGCTAATGCCAGAAGCCTGTAACTTCAGCATCTCTGCTTGCGGTGCCAGAGGAGGGCCGCTGTGGTTTACCAGGGGCCTTCCAGCTGATGGGCAGGTGATGTGGGGCCATCGAGAACGCTTCATGCCAGTGCTTGGCTTTTCTAGGTGAGGCTGACTGCAGAGACGGCAGCTGGGCCTGTGTCTGACTTCTACACTCTCCCTGTGGGGATTCGCACTGTGGCTTTCACAGAGAGCCAGTTCCTCATTAATGGGAAACCTTTCTATTTCCATGGGGTCAACAAGCATGAGGATGCAGATGTGAGTTGGGGGTCCCTGGGTCCCTGTGGGGAACATTTCTCATCTTCCTCATACTCCCTGAAGCGGTTGAGGGCAGCTCAGAGTAGTTAAGCCAACTGCTCAAAACCGCTACCTGATGGGGCCTGTGGTTGGGTTGGATAGAGGGCTCTTGAGGGTCTAGCTCTAGAAGGAAGTGCATCGGACAGAGGCAGGGGGTCATTCTACTCTGCTATCTCTTAGATCCGAGGGAAGGGCTTTGACTGGCCACTGCTGATGAAGGACTTCAACTTGCTTCGCTGGCTTGGTGCCAACTCCTTCCGCACCAGCCACTACCCCTATGCAGAGGAGGTGATGCAGCTGTGTGACCGCTATGGGATCGTGGTCATCGATGAGAGCCCTGGCGTGGGCATCACGCTGAAGTGAGTGCCCAGAGCCCACACTGCTCAGCCTGACTAGCTTGGTAGGCTATGACATTCTGCCTTTCTTCACCCTGCCTCACAGTGAGAGCTACAGCAGTTCGTCTCTGCAGCACCACCTGGAGGTGATGGAGGAGCTGGTGCGCAGGGATAAGAATCACCCAGCCGTTGTGATGTGGTCTGTGGCCAATGAGCCCACTTCCTTCCTGAAGCCTGCTGGTTACTACTTCAAGTGAGTGCCCTCTCCTGCCCCAGGCTTAGTCATAGGAGAGACCTCACCTTTGGCCCAGCTCAGCCTGGGCATGGGCTATGCGAGAGTCAGCATCTGCTCCCAGCCCGCACTTGAGAGAGTGTATCCATACCTGGTCAGTTCAGGGGAGCAAATCCCTACCCACCCAAGTTGTGATTTCAACTCAGTGATACCCAGTGTCCCCTTTTCACACCTGAAATGAAATCCAGAGTTGACCCAGTCTACTTATACACATAACTTCAAATGAAAAACAAAGTTAGGCATGGTCTAACTAACTGTGATATAAACGAGAGTTATTTATAGAATAACACGTGAATGCATGGGCCTGGCTCCCCAGAGACCCACTGAAGGGGTCCGATGCTTGCACCTACATGTGGAATCTCCTGAAAGCATAGCTACAAAAGCTGCAAAAGTGCTGCGTTGCTACTGGTACCATGGGCAGTGGTCCCTTCAGTGCTGCACATTTCCAAAATGGCCAACCACTCTAGATAAAGTTCCAAACAAAACCGAGGATAATCTCCCCTCACTTTTAATGGCATCTCCATTCCTGAGAAATAGAGTGTGTATTAAACTTCGAAAAAACACTGCAATGCTTTGGTTTATGTGTAAAGTGGAGTTAGGCTTTATCAGACCAGCTTATCTACAAAAACGGGTTTTTCAGTGACGTGTATTCCAACTATTGTAAAGTTACATCGTTGGACAGGACCAAGCCACTGAAGTTCATGGTCCCATTCACTAAAGGCCGCATTGCAAGGAAAACAAACACCACTTGGGGGCAGTGTTCCCAAAGTCGGAGGCCTGGCCTTGGGGATGTTCCTTGGTTCCTTCTCTTTCTTACAGTTGTGCAAGTGTCACTTGGCCTGGAGAGGGGAGTTATTTCACTTGCTGCAGAGGCAGCAGAGGTCATCACAATAGTCCCTGAGGCAGACATTGCATCCTAGTTTCAGGGAGTGCTTTGGGCTGAGTCAAATCTGTGAAAGGCTCCGATGAGTGACCTACCTGGGCAAAGGACAACTCCGAACATGCAGTTCCAGAGTGCACTGGGCCACCCCTGGTGGTTCAGTTTTTATTGTGAGGGTGAAGTGTATGTAGGCTCCCAGGAGTGGGTGCCTGAGGTTCCAGGTGGGCCTTTTTGGGAGGCGGAGAGAAGGGGAGATGCATGATGTCTGGAGCAGCAGGGACAGCGCAGGAGATGGCTAGAGCTACCTGGGCTGGAGGAGCTCAGCTAGGCTTCGAAGCTTCCCAGGTGACAAACAGGCCATTTCAGAGTGTGGTTTTGGGACTTGAGAGTAGGGGTACTGTGCTGGCCTGTGGAAACTACTGCCTTCAAATGAGAAGAGCAATTATGGGGAAAGGATGTAAAGGAAAGAAAACTAGCTGTGAGGAAAGAGAAGAGACAAATAGGCTTAAACAGCGATTGAAGGTGACCTGCATGGGGGAAGCCGCAGACAGTTTGCTCTGTCAGGAAGTCTTTTCTTCTTTTTAGGGAGTCTCTTCTTGTCACCCCTCCTTGGTTAGTGCGATTCAGCATAAATGCCATTTCTTCAGAGAGTCTGTCACTGACAGTCTCAGTTCTGTACCTGTTACTGTCTCACAGAACCCTCTTTCCTGCTACCACTTGTAATTGCAATTTGTAACGTTCGTGCAAGTACCCTACTTCCCAGTGCTCCATGAAGCTATAGATGTAGCTGTTAAAGTCTCTGGTGAGCGCCCAGCACACAGCATGTAGCCCATAGCCGGCTTCCTAGCACACACTCCCTAATTATTCATTAATATCTATCCTAATCCACACCCCATCCATTTCTATTTTCAAGAGCTTTTTTCAGAGATTCAGAACCTGGTTTTTGGCGGCACCCAGCCCAAGGACCTCGGCTTAGTGTGCCTGCTTGCCCCTGCAAGGTGGCCCCCTCTGTGGGCGTGGGTAGGATTTGGGAGGGAGAAAGAATGATGTCAGGGAACATGATCTAAGACGGGAGGAACATGTTCATTTACCTAAAATACACTTAGAGGTAGGGAGGAGAGCAGTGCTGTTTTGTTTGTTTTGGGAAGATGGGAGGGAGAGGATGAGAGGTGAGTATCTGAGAACTCTTCCCAGCCTGATGCAGGCTGTCTTCTGCTCTCTGTGGACAGGACACTGATTGCCCATACCAAAGCCTTGGACCCCTCCCGGCCGGTGACCTTCGTGACCAGAATGGACTATGACGTCGACCGAGGGGTGAGCCTGGAGGTTCCCACACGGTTCTCCTCTCCTCTGCCCTCTCTAGTCCTTCTCTACTGCTTGCTCCAATGAACACCACGTACGGTATAAACCTTCTGATGCGGGGCCCCGGGTCGTTAGGGCACACAGTGTGGGGCCCTGCGTTAATAGGGGAACACACTGTATGCTGTGAGCCTTATGATGCTGGACCTGCTGCATTTGGGGAACACATAGTACAGCATGAGCCTCCTGACGCAGGGTGGGGCCTCACGGCAGGAGGGGAACTCTGGGGCTAGCTCTGAGGAAAGAACCACAAGCCTCCAGTCCAGCATATTCATAGACGGTCTTTGGGTTAAAGATAACTAACTACCTGCTTATTCACAAGGCAGTGTGGCTTCCTAAATCCAAGGAGATTTAATTTATTCTCAGTTCACACTCAATATTTTATACGCCTCAGTTTAATTTTATGCACGTCAGTTTATTATAAATAATAAAATGGCAAAGTTTAAGGGAGCTGATTGTCAGAACAACTAAGGAAAGCTTTTTGAGAGTCCAGATCTCTGGATTCTGAGATTCTGATTTAGTCAGTCCGGGGTGGGAATCTGAGTTATTAAAAAGCTCTTCAGTGATTCTAATCATCAACCAGCTTTGAGAACCACTGACTAGATCCAGATTGAGAGTTGGAGAGAGAGGCTCACACAGCTGTCTGGACCACATGACCTCACCATCCGTGGGCACAGCAGTCCCTCAGAAACAATGTGTTCAGTTGCACTAGAGCTGTAAAACGGGACCACGAAAATGTTCCTTCATTAGGAAGCTGAAGGCCAGTACTTAGGAGGAAAGTGCTACAGAAAGAGAAATCATCTAAAGAAAGAATGGATGAGAAAACACTGTATACAAATACAGATTGTGAACACTGTCATTTTAACATGCATGGAAAAAGATTTGTAGCCCCGGCGCTCCTTTGCCATCTCTTGAGAATACCCCCTTCAAAGAAGCATCACGACTGGTAAAACGCGTGTAGTGCAAGGCAGCCCTGAGTGTTTTCGGGGCGCGAGTGGCATCTCCTCCCGTTCTAGTCTTTCACGTGGACCGGGAAGCCTGCGCCTGGGCACCCTATTCCTGGCCTCATCTGGTGGGATGTGTGATCCATGCGCATCTGTCCACCCAAAGGTACCTCCCCCAGCTTTCTCTTTCTGTCTGCAGTTTTCCACCACTGCAGTTTGGAAAGTGGCCACAGTCTCTTTGGAAAGACAGACCACATCAGTCCCAGTGCAGGCTCTGGAGACAGGCGTGTGTTCAGGTGATGTTAGAGACTGGACATTGGGCTGTCGAGTCTTTGCCGCTCAGTCCTAATTACCGCATTGTTTAGACCTGCGGCAGTCCTGCCCCATCATTTTGGCTACTCTGGTAGTAGGGAAATTTCCAGCCACCTGATGGCCCACAACACTAGTTCAGGCATGGTATGGCGAATCGAGATTCTTTGTAAAGACAAAAAGTGCATCTACCCCTCAGCTGGGAACATTTCTCCAGGGCCAGGTGAGGGAAGACCAGCGACAGAAACACTACCAGGAGAGGAACAGAATCCAGTCGGGATGGGCCCTGGGCTTCCACTGAGGCCAGCTCAGCTCATCAGGTGCCGGCTCTGCCTCTCATAGCCCTCACAAGAGCCCAGCTACAGCCAGGTCAGGAGCATCAGTTCAGAATTATAGACTTGCTCCATTCAGGTCACTTTTTGACTTATTTCCTGCACATGTAAGCGTCTGAATTCTTTTCGACCTTCCCTTCTTACCTCCTCTGCCAGAAGAGCCCCCGGGTATGAGAGTCCTAACACTGTATTATGCAGTCTTCTGCTTCGTGAACAAGCTTTAATGTTCTTGTCCTAGGCACCGTATGTGGACATCATCTGTGTGAATAGTTACCTCTCTTGGTATCATGACTTTGGGCACCTGGAGGTGATTCAGCTGCAGCTGGCAACCCAGTTTGAGAACTGGTATAGAAAGTATCGGAAGCCAATTATCCAGAGCGAGTATGGAGCAGATACCATTGTAGGGCTTCACCATGTAAGTAGTATAGAACGTTCTGGTTTTTTTTGTTCACTCTCTTAGGCAGTGATGTCACTCATTGCCCCAGGTTAGAAATGTGCTTCCTTCCCCATCCCTTACTTGTCCTGATGCTCTTCCCCGCAGTTCTTCAGGCTTACCTTGGCCTGCCCCTCTGCACTCATGGCTGCCCAGGACCGAGGCCTTTGGGTGACTTGCTTGAGGCAGCCTCCTTACTGGCCATGTTTCCTTGTTCCCACTAGCTTTCCAAATAGTCTTTTGAACAAGTCCAAACCTTGGAAGTCTGGTCATTGGCTTCCCCTGGCCTACAAGACAAAGCCCTAATCCCTTGTCAGGGCAGTCAACGTCTTTGTTCTCTGCCCTCTCTGAGGTCTTCATCCTCCTCTGCCTTCACCCTTTGACACTGGACTGTTTTTACTATTCCCAATGGTGCCTGTTCTGGCTTTGGCTGTTCCTTCTGCCTAGAATGCCCTTGTTAGTACTATAATTGCCAAGCAATGGATTCTAATTCTGTGTTCAAGTCTCAGCTTAGACGTTTCCTCTTTGGTGAGGTTTACCCCACCTGCCCCAGCCAGAGGAAACTGTCCCTTCTGCTTGGTCTCTGTCTCGGTGTTTCTCATTGTGTACTGTCATTATTTCTTTGGCTCTCTCCTTGACCAGACTGTGGGCTCCAGGAGGGAGAATGCATCTTATTTATTGTTGCTTTCTAAGCTGTCAGTAGTGTTCAGCACACAGCGGGTGCTAAACAATATTTGTTAAGGGAATGGATGAAATCTTGGAGCAAGTTTTTGTCACTAGCCTTTTTCTCATTGTTTTGTCCATTTCCTCACCAAAGATATGCTGCTTTGTCTTGTGAGGATATCTTCATGTGGATTCTCGAACCACAGCCAGGCACCCTTCTCCACTCCAGCCAACTCACACTGGCCTGTCACAACTACTGGGATTCTTTGTTAACACATATTTCTTAATATGCTTGTCCTTTGTATGTTGAACAGCTAGATACTTGGACTGTATTATTCTGTTCACACCCTTAAATTCATCTTGCTTACACAGAATGTCACTTGTACAAACCAATAAAGGGGGAAAAATAGCTCACGAAGACAGTGTATATGCACATTTGTTCTCCCTCTTTGGAAAGGTGTAGCCAACTCTGAATTTTTAAGAAACTCTGAAAGAGTCTAGGTTAGCACCGTCTGATAGAATCTTTTGCACTGATGGAAATGTTCTGTATTTCTGCTTTATATGCACATTTGTTCTCCCTCTTTGGAAAGGTGTAGCCAACTCTGAATTTTTAAGAAACTCTGAAAGAGTCTAGGTTAGCACCGTCTGATAGAATCTTTTGCACTGATGGAAATGTTCTGTATTTCTGCTTTCCGAAAGGGTACCCACTAGCCACATGTGGCTCTTGAGTACTTGAAATGTAACTAGTTTGACCGAATGATTTATTTTAATTTAGTTTTAAATTTAAATAGCCATTCGTTGACTAATATTAGACAATGCAAGGTCATTTTCATTAAAACCAAGTAAGAAAATTTACATTTTGCCCTGTCCTCCAAATCAGCTTTGGAACTGGAACAAAACATGGCTTAATTGTAGAGTTATATTTTCAGTGCATCTTATATAGCATTTTAATCCCTCTCATTGGAAAAGAAAGCCAAGAGGGTTTTGTTCTCTCACAGATGGTCAGAATGCTGCATCCTTCAGCATCTAAGGCTTGAGCTTCCCCCCAATTTCCCTTGTGTTGGAAACTCACACCCAACAACAAGAACTCAGACCCAGGAAAATATAAAAGATTACTATATCCTAGTACAGGCTGCATAGGAACTTCTCACCAGATATTGGATGAATTCGTAGATGTGGCCTTCTGCTTTTGTTTTGGATAGCCTTCTCCTCACTTGGCAGGTCTTAGCTTAAATAATTCCTCAGGAAAGCTTCCTGTGGCTCCTTGTCTCAATTAACTCCTCCTGCTAAACATCCCCCTGGCTCTTGCTTTGCACTCTTTTTATTTACTCTCATTACACTTACAAGTTGTGTCTTTCTTGCCAGATTATAAAGCCTGAGAGCAGGGAAACTCATCTTTCTTGTTTATCACTCTCTCTAATGCCTGCCATATTAGCAGATAGGAAATAGTTATTTGTTGAATGAATGAATGTGCTAAACAGCAGCTACTTACCCAGACCAGATACAGATGAATCTGAGGTGAGTTAAATCTGAGTCATACTAGTTCTCAAATTATACACTTGCGGCTACTTAAAACTTGAGCTTCAAATTTATAATTCAAAGACAGTTTTACTTCACCGCACTGGCGAATAGAGATGGAAAAGTAAGATAAAGCAAGTATCAAATTATATTTATAAATAGTGACTAATTAAGGTTGTTTAAAACGTTTTTTTTCTCCGGGCTACATCCTACCCTGGCTGTGTCTCTACACCAGCACGACTGAGTCCTGCAGTCAGTCACTACAGCCCACCTTGAGGACAGATATTTTGGTCATCATCACATGGATCTTTATTTTTATTTGACATTTACAATTCTGCCAGTTCTGACTCTTAAATTCTCTCTTTGCCTTGAATTCCAGGATCCACCTCTGATGTTCAGTGAAGAGTACCAGAAAGATCTGCTAGAGCAGTATCATGTGGTTCTGGATCAAAAACGCAAAGAATATGTGGTTGGAGAGCTCATCTGGAATTTTGCTGATTTTATGACTGACCAGTGTAAGTGGCAATTTGGTGAGGGGAATGTGCCATTTCTAATTTTTTCACATTGGCCTTTCAGTTCAGGACATTTGGTTGTAAGAGCACTGGAAACGAGAGAGAAAGCTGTTTAGTCATTGTAAGTTACATAGAGAATTTCCTAGGAAAAGTAAGTTGCATTTAGCAAACAGCATCACTTGCCTCCTTTCCAACTCATTTTATGGTAAAAGAAAATTAAAATAAAAAAATAAGCAAATGGGAGAGACTACCATTTTGAGGCAAAATGGCTAACTTGCCTTGTCTGTTTCACAGTAGTAAGGAAAAAGTTGACTTCATGTTGGGTTTACTTGTGAGATATGCTCATTATTCCAGTGTAGGGTACAAAACCTGAGAAACGTAAGACAGTTCAGTCTGGTTTATATTATTCACTTGTACAAGGCAGGTTCATCGAATACAGGGATGTGTCAAAGTGTTTCGAATGTGGGAGCGTTTAAAAGTCTTCAAAGGGAATACCATCTGTAGTCTTTCTCAAGCGGGGATAGATGAGAGCTACTTCAGTTAAGTTCCAGATGAATGTTTCTCATTTCTTTTTACATCTCTAGGTTACTAGTTTCTTTATATATGATAAACTTAGGATAGCACTGGCGGTGGGTGTGGGGAGGATTTGGCGGTAGTGAAAACCAGGA